GTAAGAAATATGTAGTGAATGAATTCATATCTTTATGAAAGAATCTTTGTGTAAAAATATAGAAGGTGTCACTAATGTGACTGGATTCGAACTCCCGTTTCATGAACGTGAGTCCAGCTCCCTGCGAATCCCGACCCTGAATTAATGTATTGATACTATTTATAGTCTTTTCAATTAATGATTTTATCTAATATTTTTATTTAAACATATTAAAATTTTCTACTTACATTTCTGTAAGGAAAAAAAATTATGTTTTCCAGTAATATTGTGGTTTAAAATAACTTTTATACTTACTTATTTAATATTTATATACAAATAAAATTGCTTAACACCACTTCTGTCTCACAAACTGCAATTTTTCACAGCAATATCGCTAAGTTTCGCAAACTGGATTTTTCTTTCTTCTTTTTTTAACGAGTAAGTCATGAAAATTAGATGCAATATTACAAAAATACTTTTCTCCTTGAATTGTATTTGAATAATTTCTTGTTCCATCTCGAGAACAATACAACGAGACATAATTTTTACTAACGTGATTCAAGATCGACAGATATTTCCACAAATTTTTCGCTCTCAAGTTTAGAGTGCAATTTGTTTAAATACAAATCGTGACTATTTGCACGGAATTTGCCATGAAAAATAACGGTGTCGGTGATGTTGTAAGTGGTGAATTACACAAAAAACCTTTTTTGCAAGACGGCAAATTTATAAATGTTGCCATTAGAATTGTTTGAAGAAATATTTACTAAGCAGAGATAAAAGAACTCAGTGCGATTAATTAAGCTAATTAAAAAGTGCTAATTAATAATTTCCAGACGATGCTTTAAGTTACGAAAAAAATATGACTTTTTTTAAAAAAAATTTCTCAGAAACTATTCTACCAATTTCGCTCAAATTTCGTATTTTGCCATGTAAAAATACATTCTTTAAAATTATAAAAAATTTTATACCTTAAAATTCAAAATTTTTTCGACTATTAATAAATAAAATAACATAAATACTAACCATAATTTATTTTCTGCATGGATTTATTGTCTAAACAAATTTTATAACTGTGTGCAAAAAGTTTTCAGTTCGCTTTAAACTATATCGAGATAGAGAGGAAAACCACCCACGGTTGGCCTAACGGCAAGGGGACTCTAACCCATGATCCGTCTACCACTGAGGATATTTTAAGTCAGCACTGTGGTCGGTGCAAGCCGGATGCGAAATTCATATCGACCAGCCATCGTTTTGATTCGAACCCGGTTCACCTCATTGAAATGCGTAGGCTCTATCCCCTCAGCTATCACGGCTTAACTATAGTTGTGGAATATATGGAATATATTTTATAACCGTCGTTGAACAACCGACCCAATTTTACGGGTTTACGACTATTAATGTTCAACTCCGTAGCCTTGTAATTTTGAACCCAATCCAGAAGACCAGGGAACTCCTGGATCGAGTATTGGGAGAAATTTGCCTTCGCTGAGGAACGTTTTGATGGAGGTAACCCACATTTGCGATGCATGGAGAGGAAGACCATGAGAAACTTCCACGGTCAGCCTGACGGCAAGGGGACTCTAACCCATGATCCGTCTAACACTGAGGATATTTCACGTCAGCACTGTGGTCGGCGCAAGCTGGATGCGGAATTCGTATTGACTGGGATTCGAACCCGGTTCGCCGCATTGGAAGGCGAACGCTCTATCCTCTAAGCTATCGCGGCTCATGGAATATATTTGTAACATATAGGAGGACAGAGAAATGTGGGGTCCTTAGACCAGAGCCTCTCAGGCCTTATGATAAATCAGGTCCTGGTTTGGAGCGCTTCTCTATTATGACCTGTTCCGAAACGCCCAAAAAAAAAAACTTCATAAAAGGAAAGCGCCAGTAGCGGCGCATGACAACATTTATTTTCAATACAACAATATTTCATGTGCAATTTTGATTCTAATAATGTGCCCTAACTCCTCTATTAGTTAGTCAAAACATTTAAGTGACAATCTGACAAATTTACTGTTTTTAAACCTGTATATTTTGATAACAAATAAACTAAAAATTTCATTTTTAGAAAAAACTATACCTAGGAAAAAGAAACCGATTGCAGTTTTTTAAAATCAGCGATACAAAAGTTTTAAGATCTACTGAAAAAATCTCACGAAACAAAAAAGTTTGTTCCCCAGTGTTATCTCCGTTACAACAATAAAACACTACGAAAAATTATCTCCGTTACTGCGAAAAAACAATCCCACTACTATAAAGAGCATTGACTGGAAACCCAAGTTGAGTTTGAAAAAAAAAAAAAAAAGAAAAACTAGTTTGTATCTCTAACAAACGTTTTAATTGTAAAATTGATTCTCTACGCGGAGTCAAGGGAAATAAACTTGCTAAATAATCCCCGTTTTTTCCTCTTGTAATGACAAACTGATTTCTTTTTGGGTTTCCAGATGGGCACAGGTGCTCACAGCATCGTTCTTCCCTTGATACCCTACGTGAAAGATTTCTTAATGAGTACCATTAAGTCAACTAAGGCGTTGCCATAGTAACGGCTTTTTCTTTCCCCCTTTCCTGGATTTCAACAATACTTATTTTTGAATTTCACCAATGAAGATTAATCAGGCAGCGAGTTCATTATTATAATGAATCGTTGAGCTTCCTGCGCCTGATGAAAGCACTCATCAGCTTCTAGAATTTAGAAATTTTTCTGGGTTATTCGGAATTCGATGTTTTGATTTATGATGGTGTGAAACAACCCATTAATTATGAAATCCCCCATTAGGATTTTAAAAGTCTGTAAATAACGAAAAGTTTTGTATAAAATGAAATTTATTTTATTAATAATCTTACTTTTTTTTTTTTACAAAAGAAAAAAGGTTTAAAAAAATAAGATTACAGTTTGAAACTTTATAGCTTTTACTCACTTGAATTACAACTTTCATTTGCTACTCAAAAATACGTTATATGCCTTATTTTATTATGAAATCATTAATTGATTGTGTGAAATTGATATTTTTTACGCAAAAGATTTTATAAAATTAATTTTCAGTTTAACCTCTCTTAAAATTCCAATTTTCATTTGTTACCCGAATTGTATTTATTTATTTATTGTTATGACATACATTTGCAGGTTTGTTTATTCATTATAAATATGACTTCCCATAAAATACTTTTATATGCTTTATTTTATTAATAAAAACTTGCTTTAATAAGTGAAAGTAACAAATTCAAAAAATGATTCTAGAGATTTCATATATTTTAGCACGAAATAGTTTTCAATAATTATTGAATAAACCCATGATGAAGACTAAATTAAGTTGAAAATGCATTGTAGCTAATTTTAGTTTATTTTAGTTAATTTTTAAACTATTAAATTGCTGTAATTAGAAACTAGTTTTACAATATTTCGAATGGAAAAAGTAATGATAGAATTTTGTTTTGTTTTCATAATGTTTCATGATCACTATTAATATATATTCCAAGAATTCTTATCGAAAATTAATTTAAAGAACACACACACTGGGGTAAATATATGAGCTATAATACACATTAATATTTAAGCAATAGAGAAACACTATCTTAATTAGAAGTGTTTCTTACAATTCCGTTCAGTTACCTTCGTCAATCAAACTGGTTTTGATGTTTTCAGTACTACCTTTCTCTGAAGTGACTCGTTTGGTTTTGATTCCTTTTTTGCCTTTTTCACACATTTTATATGCTACTCCTATTGACGTATATATTTTTTCTTTTTTTAATATATATTTTACAATGATCCTTTAAGAGGCTGGGATAGTTGGTAGGGCACTGGGCCCATGTCCAAGAGTCCGAGGGTTCGATCCCAGCCTGCCGAAGACTCCGCGTGTAGTAAATGGTGACTGATGCACGTTAAATCTGTCGAGTCGCAAATTCCCCCATGTTCCCATAACAAATCAAAAACCACTGGGGGTAGTGATCCAGGAGTTTTCTTCTTGTCTACTGGATTGGTTCAAAATTACAAGGTTACGGAGTTGAACATTAATAGTCGTAAACCCATAAAATTGGGTTGGCTGTTCAACGACGGATATGAAGTAAAAATGAAATAAAATGATCCTTTAAGAGCAGCGGTGGCTCAGGGGATAGAGCGTTTGCTTTCGAATGAGATGACCCAACTTTGAATCCCAGCAGTGGCTGGTCTATACAAATTCTGCCCCCGGCTCGCACCAATCACAATTCTGACATAAAAATATCCTCAGTAGTAGACGGATCATGTGATAGAATCCCCTAGCCGTCAGGCAAACCGTGGGAAGTTTCACAGCTTTCCAAATGCGGATTAATTCCACAAAGTGCTAGTTTCTCCCAATGCTTTTATGCAGGAACTCCCTTGTCTTCTAGGTTAGGTTCAAAATTACAAGTCTACGGAGTTGAGCATTGATAGTTGTAAACTCAGAATTGGGTCTGTTCAATGTTACGGAGTCCCGCAGTGGACTGATCGTTAAGACACGGTTCCCAGCAGATCACCGAAGTCAAGCATCACTGGCTGCGGTCAGTGTGCGGGTGGGTGACCCACTTGGATCAGTCTGTGTAGGGACCGAGGATGTGCGGTATTGGTCCTCGTTAAACTGTGCTACCGTAAAGTGCTCGACTTCGCGTGTAGGTCGTTGGGCTACCGAAGTGGGTGTGCCATCCCCTCTGTTGAGGATCAAAATTGTGATGGCATGTCCTCTGATCATCCTCAGGGATGTTTCTCAGACCGTCGCCAATAGCCCATTGCGCAGCTCTAGTGCGACGTAAATAAACTACAACAACAAATCAATGTTACGGAATATAAAATAAAATGATCCTAAAATATATATATATAAGAAGTGTATAAACCGGTTATTACTGGTGTTTAAGGGCAACGGCCTTAGTAATATTGATCATTCCTGTATTAGAGAGGCAGACATGGAATTATTTTTTTCCTTCTTAAGAAACGAAAGATTTAAATGCAACTTTGCCCTTTTAAGTACACATCCTATTAAACCTAAATCTTCTTTTCTCCGCAGGTGAGAAGATGACTGCTGAACTGGAAGAGCAAGAAAAGAAGGGAGAAAAGGAGATGGAAGTGGAGAAGACCCCATCTCCAAAGGATGAGGATGCACCTAAGAATGGAGGAGGGGACGTGAAGAAGGAAGAGGTGGAAGAAGAAAAAGAAGAGGAAAAGAAAGAGGTCGAAGAGGAGAAGAAAGCAGAGACAGACACTGAAGAGCAACAGCAAGAGGAGGAGGAGATAGCACCGTCCCGTGCTAGACCTCTCCCCTTCTGGAAAAGGTTAATGATCTTTGAAATATTTAAATGGGGTTTATTGATTATCGGTCGGGGATCTTCAGTTTAATCGAGATTTATTCACTCGTTTACTGTTCATAGACATACAATAATGGTATTTATAATCAGTTAATAATAATCAATGGTGAATATTTAAATAATAATTAATGTTAAACTCAATCTGAATCTCTCTCTTGTTATAAAAAGTGTAAAACGCCTCGTGTTGGTATGCAAATGCTTAGGTTTTGTTTGTGAAGCATCGTTATCTGATAATGCATAAATAAACTGATCATTCCTGTATACATTATGATTCCGAAAATATGTATTAATGTATTTCCAGAATTATCCTTTATATTTGGCACTACAGGTAAAGGGCAAGAAGTTGTTGTTTTTTTTCTCCAACGAAGTCTAGTTTTGTTTTTCCGATGATGCTTGATTTTTTTCAACAGCTTCAACAGCTATTTTATTTTCGATCAACAGTGCCAGTTAATGTTTGCCCCCTTATTTTATATCGATCGGAGGTGCTTGGCTTGTTGCACAGAAACTCCGTTGCTCATAAGCAACACCTCTTGCCGTTGATTTTTTCCAATTAGTTTCTTTTAATGTTTTTAAATTTGTTCGATGTCATCAAAATGAAAGTAACCTGTTTCTGGGTATTCCTGTATTAGTACTTATTACAGGAATACTGTTTTAGGTATTGCTGCATTAGCAGGGGTCTGTCGAGACATTTTGTGAAAGGTCCGGTTTTCGAGAAATTGTGAAAAAATTACTCACGTTCTTTCAACCAGGGTCCGCTTTTATAAATTTGTGCAAATAAGGTCCGGTTATTGCAGAAAACTTTTTCAAGGATTTTTTAAACTGTAAATAGATACAAGATTATGCTCGGCACTGTAAAATTACAGTAAAAAAAATTTAATTTTCAAAAATAAACAGCAATTTCTACTTCTAAATTAGAGATGCAACATGCAAATATTTGGTATTTAGCCTATACTGCTGAACTAAGATTATTCATTTCGGACGAATAATGGAAGAATCGTCTCTCGAAGACAAAACTTAATTCGTTTACATCCATCTTTCTTGTTTTCTGCCCTGGAAAGGGTTTATTCGATTTACAAAACAATAATGAAGATAAACAAATTTGTGAAGGGTCCGATTAAAAGAAAAATTACTTTGTGAAGGGTCCGTTTTTATGAAAAGATATTTTGTGAAGGGTCCGTTAACGGACCCAAATTTCTTCTTAACAGACCCCTGATTAGTGACCTGTTTTTGGTTCATTCAATCTCAGCCTTTCGCTGACATAGTGTTTCATGCATACTGAGTCTCGTTCTATTGCAATTGAGTCGTAATCTTTGTTGGTTTCTTAAACCAGAGTAGCATCTGCTCACCCGCATCAACTTCTTTATTCGTTAGTAACAGTTCATTTTTGTTAGTTTTCAATTAAATAACTCAACAGTTAGTTCATTTCATTTTCGTTCATTTTTGTTAAATTCAGTGACTTTCTCAGTGGTGTGACCGTTCACCCTCAATGGTTCACTACCAGACTAGATTGGTCACGTCCATACATTTTGTTTTCTTTTCGTTGATGCGTAGGCCCATTTATTTTAGCCTCTGTCAGAAGAGCTACAAACGCCTCATTAAAAGTCCGCCTTGATCTGCCTGTATTATCAAGATCGTCCGCGCATGCATTTAAATGATTTGTTGTATTAAGTTCTATTATTTGTTTGTCTTTACATCTCTGATGATCTTATCTAATGCATAATGTCAATAATTTATAAAGCAGGCGTGATAGGGCATCACTTTGTTCAAAACCTTTATCAGTAAAAAAAAGGGCGTCAAGAAACTCATTCTGTGTTTTGATGTAACATCAAACGCTTGAAAGAGCTGCTTTGAAAAGACTGATAAGTTTTGTTGGGAATTTAAATTTAGTCATTGCTTCATTTAACTTTTTCTGCTTTATGCTATCATACGCTGTCTTAAAATGAAAAATTAAAGAAGATGATCTGTATCGACATTATATCTTTTGCTTCTTTAATACCTATTTCAATGCATAGATATATATATAATATATTAGAGGAGATTTTAAAAATAGTATTCATCAAGGTTATTCCTCTGTAGTTGCAGCGCTTAATTTTTTTCCTCCCCTTTTTATATATTGGGCAGATATTAGCCCATTAAGTTTCCTTTTTAGCCAAACATTACATATAATTGTATGGATGGCATCAGATCATTGATCTATATAAGATCAGGTTTTATCCTATCTGGTCCAGCGGATGTATAGCGGTTTAACTTTTTGACAGTTTGTTTCACTAATGGAGCCATAATAGTCAATTCCATCATCAATTCCTCCAATTGTTGCCATTTGGTTTTCTTTTTGTGTTATGAATATTTTTTCCTTCAAGTAGTTCCATGAAATACTCTGCATCTCTTTATCACTTCATTTTTATCACTTGTGAATTTTCCATCTTTTTTCTGTAAGTATTTACTTACTTTAAGGTCGACCTCAGAAAGCCTGTGTTCTCTACTTTTGCGTAAAAGTCTCAAATTATCATTTTTATATCACTGCGAGAGCAGCAATTGCATATAGATTACAGAGAAAGTTTTCTTTTCATCTTCAGGCTTATCTTCAGTAGTAGCATGGTCATGAATAATATGCTTAAGTTGAATTCAATAACTTAACTTTTTATTCTTTTGTTGGCAATAGAGTCAATGCCAAAGTAGTACGAGTTTTTACTAGCAGCTATTATAGACAATATGTTTTTTTCTTATCTAGGGTTCCCTAACCCAGCCATCCAATTTCTTTTATGGTCAGAGTATCAATTCGATACTCTGTCAGCCTTGTCCAATAAATTTCTCAATGTTCCACTTCCGTGCATGTGCATACCTTATGTTCATGCAAAAGTGTGAACATATATATATGATAGTGAAGTGTGAATATATATATGGGTCATTCTCACGAAAACTGTCATTTTTCAGTTCATAAAATCCCAAAAAAGTAAAGTGAATAAAAAGCTCTGAAACTTTTTATATTAATAGAAATATGTAATGGCATTATAAAGAAAGTATATATCCTATAAATTATACTTAATATTTAAATTAATCAATTTTTTAAATAATTAATTTATAATTAATTAATTTATAATAATTAATAATT